AGTTTTGATGAGCCGCAGTGTCGCAGCAAACGCAGCGCCATTATTTTGCCCATTAGTCCCCCAAAAACAACAAGCCTTACGTTTGATCCGTGTTGTGATCCCGCTCCTCGACGCAGAACTAGTCCCCGGGGTTGCGCAGCAACCGAGCTAAGTGATGTTCTCATTTAGTTGATTCTGGCTCCCGGAGTCGATACGAGAGGACAGCGACGGGAGGAAACAACAAGGCTAGCATGGCGCATCATAAACCTTGGGAGCCTTGTAAAAGTCAATTTGCTGTACAAACTCCTCGGAACAACCGCCGCGACAAACAAGTCCCGCAATACCAGTGATTGATGGGGCCTCAGGAAAGGCAAATCTGCAAATATGACTCGGCTTTATCCTTGGCGAGCCCCATCTAATGTGATCTCTGCCGAGTATGAAATGAAATTCCACTTTGGATGACATCAAATTGAAAGAAGCGGCGAGAAGAAGGTGGCATCCTCGACACTGCCACTTACAATCAGCAGCATGGAGAGCGATTTAAGGTGGCACGCGGCGTAAATTTCTTGTCTTTTATGCTTTTATTGCGCCCCCTTTCCTCGCTCCTTCTTTTTTTTTCCCCCCCACTCTGCCGTTCGCCACCTTTTCGTGACAAGTGCCGAGGCTTCTTCAGGTGCTTCAATCATGAGTATTTATTTGCATGTGAAGACAGCCTGTCTCACTGGCCTGCGCATGCGGTGAGGAGAGAGTTAAGGAAGAGGGGGGAGGGGGGAGGAGCAGAACGAAGCAACAATTTACACGCTTTCCCTTATAGGTGAAACAAATACAGCTCTGTATTAAAATATTATGCAGAGTAATATTCTAGACACTATAGCAACCCGCTATAGCAATCTTCCAGCGTTTTTCTCCCCACTTCTCAGTCTCCACCATTTCTGCCTGCGTATCAGGTATGTCTAATCCGCAGATTAGTAATTGCCTCGGAGCAAATGCATTCAAATCACCAAACAAAATTATACGAGGAAAACGCTGCCCGCTGCAATTTCATGAGTATTACTGTGCTCTCTTACTGCTTCCATTTTCCCCATTCGGAACATAAACAACAAAAAAGCCCGAGCGGCCACAGATTGAATTAGGGCCCTAATAGATCCAAAACAATTTTGATAACGTTAGCCACAGTCAGCAGCAGCAAGGACAAGCGCTAATAATAATGTGGCAATAAACAAACCAGCTTACCGCAAACTGCTTCTTTTTTTCTCTCTCTCTCTCTCTCTATTTTACTAAACGCAAGATTTCCAGAGTGGTCTCTCTTTTTTTTCACATTTAGAGCACTGTCCTGAATTTCAATAATGCTGACGGAAAAAGAAAAGCGTGTTTCTTGTTATGATCATTGTGTTATTAAAGGGGGGTAACTGTTTCGGTGACCAAATCCTGAAAAGCTTTTGAAACCAGAGGTAATGTCTTCATTAAGCTGTAAGGTCACGCTTGCTAGCGAGTTAACTAGTATCGAGGTACACTGAAGATTTAAAAGCACAGGAGCTTTCACCAGTCGCATGGACAAAGATTGCGTCTCACTCATTTTTACTTTCACTTAAAATAGAATAAAAAAATAAAAAAAACTCATTCAGATGATTGAAGAGATTTATAGTCACTCAAAACTTTGTGCAAAGCAGCTGACTGCAGGTTAGCAACCTGAGCAGGCAGCCTGACTAATTACCCTGGTAATATCATCTAGAAATGCTTTACTTTATAAATATAGACTTAATAGATATTACTATCACTTTTATTTCCTGCCAAGCAGTTGGTACACCATTGCTCAACTTATATCAGTTTTGACACTTCTGTTTAGGGTTGCATAACTTTAGGAAAACATAAGTCAATAATATTAAATATTAACCCAGATTTTCTAGTCTTCTCTTCCTTTTTACATCATCATGACGATCGACCAAACTTCTTTCATCTGGCAACTATTGTTTGCTATCAGAGAGGGAACGCAAAAGGTGGTAATACACATTACTTTTGCTAATTTCTTCCAAATTAGAATGGTATTTTTACTAGAGGTTTTTATTTTGTGGTTTAGCTCAATGGCCAGTGCTTATCTGATTCTATTAGTGGCTTTTTTTTTTTCTAAGGTGTTTAGGCAGCTACATTTCTCAGGTTGAAACAAATGAGGTCGTAGGCAAAGCGCAACATTTCCATATTGGTTTCCTGCTCCGCCTGCAACCTCCAGGGCGATCACATCCTATGTTTTTGGCTACAAACGCCACCTCAATGACCTCCATTTGCATGGTGATCTTATTTGTCCTGTACAAGTGTGGTCAGGATGAGCGGGGGGAGGACAAGGGGGGGGGTGAGTGGGTGAAGGTACGCCCTTTTTTTGCAAATGAGTTGATTTTTAGCCGGAGAAAGTGGCGACGGAGTAACAGCTGGCAAGAGGACGTAAAGGCGGGGGCGGGGGGCGGGTGGTGGGTGTTGCGGTGAAGTGTGAGCAAAATCTGGTTGTTTTCTGCCTCAACCTGGAGGCAAGGAAAGCAGGTTTAAGTCTGTGGGCGGGGCCTCCGTCCGCACCTAAGGGGCCGACACTGCAGGAAGCACAGAGTCCAAGCTTCTGTGGCTCACTGCTGATTAAAAGTGATCCACCTGGGCACAAATGGTGCTTTGAGGTGCAATGATAAAAGACAAAACTGATGGGCTTTGCTAATTCAATGGCTAAGTGATTTCATTTCTCTATGCATTACGGTTGGACTGCATTATTTCCTGGCACTATAGTCAGAACAGAAACCACTGCCAAAAGTAATAAAGTTAAGTGCTCTGTTAAGAGAAAACACCACTCATCAAGCCTTTGGACGCAGCAAGTTGAAACGCAGGCATGTAAGGATATGGATTGGAGAGAGATGTTGGGTAGGAAAACCTAAAAAAAAAAAAAAAAATGAATATGAATAATAGTAGGAACTGTACTGATTAGTGTGCAATCAGTGAAAGAAAGGTTAAAAATGACATCGGGCCTAGTGGAACCCTCACCAGCAGCTGGGTGACGCTCCAGTGTCCTCCTCACATTTAGCTTGGCTTAATGACTGTTTAAATGTCTGATGGGCTTAAAAGAAAAGGTTCGGTTCACTGATAAACTTCCTCAGTTGCTTGGTTACCTGCCCGTGCAGGTTGCCTCTGTAGTTATTGTGAGATTAGGTGGGCGAGGGAGGGAAAGGAAAAAAAAAAAAAACGGAACCCGATACCTCCGGGATTACAGTTAGTGTTTCAGGCCTATTTTCCGTCTTCCTTCCCTCCCATGTCCTTTCTATCTTTTCCACCCAAACGTTGAGTCCCTGGTGAAACAGTGGGGGCCATTCTCTCCACCGCTAACAGGGCTGTCTTTCTTGCGCCTGTCTCTTCCTACGCACACGTTGAAGAATATTCTCCATCACCGCTTCTTCAATGTAGCTAAATGCTTCAAACATGGATCACGTTCAAACGTTTAAACATGAAAGATTTTTTTTTATTTTTTTATATCAAATCATAATGAGGCTCAGGCTAATTCCAAAAGAGAAAAGCTTTCTAGCATATGTTTTGCGCAGTTTAAACTTTAAGGTCCTTAGAATTCAAAATCCAGTGTAATCGGCACCTCTCTGTTTTTATCACTGACCCTACCCCACTTGTTGCTTCTCACTGATAGCCAGCTGGCTAAGGACTTCTGATTGTTGCTATTTTTAAGACACATGGCATGTATGTTAATCTATCCCACAGAACATAACTAAAGATTTAATATCCCCTGGTGCTACTTTAAGCCTATAAGCAGCTCAGACTCAAAAAGAAGTACACTTTACTGTGAGGCGAGTTAAAATCTATTTAACAAAGTGCTATAGATGATTTCAGAGCTGTTATAATCAAGGGGTTACATTAAAACACACCTGACCTTGCACGCTTTATTATGTCTTTAGTATAAGTGACTCTTGCAGGACAACAGAACATATTTTGGAGCAGGATGACCACTTCGTGTCTTGATCTAATAAAAGAGGTGGCTGTTAAATGCTGTAATTGGAGAACATGAACAAACACCTTCTCTTCAATTAGCTCCCATTTGCCGCCCCTAAACCGTGGCCTCCCGTTCACCGCAGAAGAACATACCAAGAGTCAGTATTCAATTGAAATATATTGCTTCCTATCGCACATTAAATGTCAGACCAGCAGTTTCACATTGTGGAGACGGATGATGTTTCCTTGAAGATCACGACGAGCTTTATGTATCTGGGTGTTGCAAGCTGACTTCAGACGCTGTATTCCAACAAACCCAGAGTCCATAAAGGCTCCCCGCAGCTTTAATGTCGAGAATAAATATATAAATATATGCACGGGCATAGTGACACACAATACATGCTGCTGCCGAAGCAGCAAATAGAGTGCCCTTTTAATTATGCAGGAGACATCCGAAAGCAACAGCACTCCTCACACTCTGGAAAGCAGTTCAGTGAATACACCATATTAGAGGCTATAGCAGACAGAAGAGAGAGAGAGGGGAGAGCCATAAAAAGGGACTGAAATGATTCAAGAGGAGGAATAGTGTAAGGAAGGAGGGAGGAGAGAAGAGTTATAGAGAGACGATAGTGAAGATTAAAAAAGAAACTACAGCCAGATAAAAAAGCAAGGCAAGAGAGAACCATTGAAAGGGGTGTGATGTGGAGAAAACAACACAAAAGTGAAGAAAAAAATAGGCAGGGACACAAAGATGCTCTATGCACATCTAGAATAGAGTTAGAGGAAAAAAGTCTACATTATATATGAAAAATTGAACAAAGCAGAGAAAAGGAAAAAGGAAAAGAGAGAATGACAAAAGGGGCACGTAACACTCCTGAATTCTATGACTAGCACTGAAACCAAGAAAAAGAAAAAAAATCAATAATTCATTAGAGCATAATGTACAAGGATATTGTTCTTTTTCCCAAGAAATGAAAATCAACTTGTTTCATCTGGTTTTAACTTAATTTCTCCTCCGTTTTTGCACCTAACGGTGAAAAATTGCCCAAGGAATGTGGCAAGACTGTGTTCAAAACCGGCTAGAAAATTTTAAAGAGTGGGGAAGTAAGGAGGAAAATGATACCCTGAAGAAAGGTGGTAAGATAAACCTAAGACAGGAAAAGAAACAGGAGGTACACACGCAAAAAGAAGATAAAGGACTGCGAGACACTGAGGTGCACAACGGTGATATAAAATCTGTTCCCTCTGCTTGGTCAGTGAATTGATGCAGACCTCACAGCAAAGAGGAATTTTAATGTGATCTCCTGGCTAGCTGTTCCTACAGAGTAAACCTGACTCAACCCAATGCAAAAGTGCTTTACAGATGCATGCAGACTATAGCTACCAACTTTCTATTTTCTCCTGCATTCACAAGGAGGAAAAAGAAGCCTCGTCACACACTGAGGGCAGGTCAGGGCTCGACATGGTTACGGAAGGGAGGGGGTGTTGCTGTCCCCTGCCACACTTCTCTTTGGGATAGAATAACTGCAAACCAAGTCCTTATGTGAGCTGTCCACAACACTCAGACACATATTTCTCAAGGTGAATAGTAGTGACGCCCCTGTCAGGAAAGGCGGCTTGGACACATGCTGTGATGAAAGCAAAAAAAGTTGGACATGTTGGGCCAAAGTGAAACAGTATCCCCAACCCGATCTTATCTAATCCTCCTTAGATCTCTTCCCTTTCAATATTACATGTGAATGGCACTCCAAACCAAAACAGATCAATACCACTAACTTGACACACATTAGCTACATAAAGGCAACAAGACTACTGAGACTAGCACTGTCAGGAAGCATTATGGCGGAGAGAACACTAAGAGGAAGAAGCAGAAGACATTTAGGAGTGGTGGAGGGAAACAAAGAAACATTGAGATGCGTCTTCTTACCTGTTTGTTGTACTTGTTGATGGTTTGAGTGCTGTAGTCAGAGCAGTGGTCAGATCCAAGGGAAATGTTATCTCCGGTGCCAACGAAGGTGTTGGCAGGGGGCAGGTCCTGAACTGCCTGGTGCTTTTTTCCGGCTGTCGGTGACTGAGGGTGAAGCTGGACAGTTGGGAGCGGCGAACTGGACTTGTAGTGCCGAGCCAGGTCTGGACTTCCCGGCCCACCGTTGACTGAACGGTAGCGTCCCATACCGGGGCTGTCTGACAGCTTCTCATTGACGCCATCGTAGCGCTGCCCATTAGGTTTGGAGGCCTCTACTGTGACGATACTACTATAGAGAGGCTGTTTGGACTTTTGTTTCTTCTTGTCTTTCTTGGGCTTCTTGGATTTGTCGTGCTGCTGAGGTGTAAAAAAGTCCTCATGATCTTTCTTTCCTGCCTCATAGCCATTCTTGTTCTTTGGGTGGCAATAACGGGCCATGACAACAACAAGAATGATGAGAATGACGGTCATGATGCCCGAAACTACTCCAATTACAATGCTTAATCGTTGTTTGCTGAGATCATAGTTGGGGTCACCAGCGATATTGGTGTTCAGGGAGGTACTCAGGCTCTTAGCCACCTGTGCCTCCACAATTGTGGAATTGGAAAGTGTCTCATTAACATACACGTGAACCAGGGTGGTGGTGCTCTGTGAAGGCTGACCACTGTCATTCACTTGGACCACAAGTCTGTGGAGACCGTAGTGTTTTGGTTCCAGCTTTGCCATCAATGAGATCACCCCTGTGCCCCCATCAATCTCAAACAGCTTGAAGGGGTTTCCCCCAATGATGCTGTAGTTCAGGTCTGCGTTGATGCCAGTGTCCGTATCAGTGGCCATGACAGTTCTGACAACTGTCCTGATGTTACTGGAGGGGGGGAGGAGGGTGTAGGAGCTGTTTATTGGGAAGGTGACTGTTGGTGCATTGTCGTTTTCATCCATGACGAAGAGTGAGACTGTGGCTGTGGCGGATCTGGGTGGATCACCACCATCCACAGCTTTGACACGGAATGTGTATGTAGTTTTTTGCTCCCGGTCAAAGGAGAGGGTGGAAAAAATAGTCCCAGTTTCATTCTCAATAGAAAAGATCTCCTCCTCCTCCTCAATGAAAAGACCCATCTCTGCATTTTGGCCTTTGTCAGCATCGATTACTGTGACCATACCAACAGGGCTGTTGGGGTCAAGATTCTCTTTGACATAGAAGGTGAACACATCCTGCATAAACTTTGGATCGTTGTCATTTTTATCCCCCACGAGAACAACCACAGTAGCAGAACCCTGAAGCGTGTTTATGCCCTTATCTTTAGCTATCACTTTAAATTCATAGCGCTCTGTTTGCTCTCTATCCAAGATGGTGTTTACTCGGATGTCTCCACTGTCTGCATCAATAGAGAAAATCCCATTTACAGATGAATCGAGGGAATATGCTATTTCAGCATTTTTCCCACTGTCAGCATCAACAGCTTTTACTGTTGTCACCCTCTCGCCAGGGGCATTGCTTTCAGGGAAGGATACCTCAACTACATTCTGGCTGAAGATAGGAGGATTGTCGTTAGTGTCGCCCACTTTGACGATAAGAGAGTTATTACTTGCCAGACTAGGGCTTCCAGAGTCCACAGCCACTATTACCACATTGTATTCCTGTGTGGCCTCATAGTCCAGTGGTGCAGATGTGTGGAGAAAATACTTTTTTTTATTCTGTTCACCTTCCATCTCACTGGCTGGCTTGAGTTGAAAAGGTACATCTCCTACGACCGTGCAGGTTACTATGCCATTCTCTCCTTGGTCTCTGTCTGACACCTGAACCAAAGCAATGGGTGCATCCACCATCACGTCCTCAGCTACGTTTGCCACTCCATCTTTTAGGAAAATGCGCCCAATTTTTCGGATTTCAATTGCTGGGACGTTGTCGTTCTCGTCCTTGATATTCAGCACCACTGTTGCCTTATCCATTTTGGGCGGCTGGCCTCGGTCACGAGCCATTACTGTGAACCTCAGTTGGCTAACTTCTTCACGGTCAATGCGGTGCAACACACTTAGCCAGCCAGTGCTCTCATCCAACCTCAGCAGCCTTCTCACAGACTCTGTGGCCGCCCCAAACACATATTCAATTTGACCATTAACCCCAACGTCTGCATCAGCTGCTTTAAGCTGGAGTATCGGCGCACCAGGGGAGCTGTTTTCCGGCAGGTCAGCTTCATACACATTCTTCTCGAACCGCGGGTTGTTGTCATTTACATCAGTGATCATTACTCTCAGGATGGCCTGAGAGGAACGTGGGGGATCTCCTCCGTCCCTAACCCGCAAGGAGAGCTCATAAGAGTCTCTCTGTTCTCTGTCAAGGGCCCCTTTAATGATGAGTTGGGGTTGCTTCTCTCCATCAATAGTGTCAGCAACTTGCAGTTCAAACACACTGCTCCTGCTCGCGCCCTCCTCAAATCTTCTTTTTCCAGAGTAGGAATCCCCAGAAGATCCCAAACGCCTTGAGTTTTCCCCATTGTCCTGAATTAGCTCATATCGCTCTATTCCGTTCCTGCCAAAATCTCTGTCTGTGGCTGTGGGCAGCAGATAAAGGGTTCCAATGGGTCTGTTTTCCTCCACAGACAGTGTCAGGACAGGCGAGGGGAAAGACGGAGTGTTATCATTTATATCTAATATGATGACTTTCCCCTCAAAGAGGTCGACCCAGCTCTGAGCCGGTCCAATCACGGACACCTCGAAATCTATGAAACACTCGTTCTCGTCAAATATCATTTGGCACTGCTGTAATTTCTCACGGTCTATCCGCCTCTCGTTGGTGGTGAGCTCACCTGTTATGTTGTCTATTTTGAAAAATTCCGAGCCGGACTCCAGGGTGAACGTCACCTCGCCGGACCCGGCCACAATGCCCAGGTCGCCTGCTACGTTGCCAACTCTGACATCGGCAGGTCCCTCCTCCGCCAAGCGGTACCGGAGCACTTGCTTACTCGCAGCGGGCTGATGCACGAGCTGCAATATGAGCATGCAATAGTACAAACAGTCCACTGCTGCAGTAGTCCCCATTGTTCAGTCCTGCAAAGATGTCCTCGGAAAAATGTTTTAAAAGAGAGAAGAAAAAAAAAAGTCCCAAAATTGATGTTAATTGACAGTCTGCGTATAAAAAGGCAATCTCGTTCTCATTAGGAGCGCAGTCTTTTTTTTTTTCTTTAGGATGCGTGAGACTTCATCCTCTCGTTTCTGCTGCAGTGGAAAGCAGCAAGTGCACGCAGGGAGGGAAGGTGGTGGGAGGTGGGGGGGCTTTCCTTCTACCTTAATTTATTTATTCTGGGGGAGAAAAAAAATAAAAAATAAAAATACAGAGACTGTCTTTGCGGGGGGAGACTCCGTGCGCTCCGGACTGTGCCGAAGTGCAATAGTCCCGAGCATCAGCGGAAAGTGAATGCAGTCCGGTCCGCTCACGCTTTTTTTTTTTTTTTTTTTTTTTTTTTTCTCATTTTTATAGCTTTTTTCCTCTCTTTTCTTTTTTGATGACGAGGAGGGCTGGGCGAGCTGAACTCTTCCTCCGTCTGTCCTGATGTTATGTCCACATATATCAGAGGCGCGTAAAAAGGAGATGCCCGCGCAGGTTGCAAACTCATCCCACTGTGCAGGGTTGAGCGCGGAGCTCGTCACCTCTCCTTTATGTCTTGAAGGTAATATGCAGCAGATTACCTGTCTGGCTTCTTTATTCTGCCTCCTTCCTTCCTCCCCTCCAAGTCACTCGCAACAAGCAGAATACTATCACTCTCTCACTCCTCCTTTTCCTCCTCCTTCTCGTCTTCTTTAACGAACCAAATCCAGTCCGCAAAAAAAAAAAAAAAATAGATATTTAAGAAAAAGAAAGAAAGAAAAATCAGGGCTGAGTTCGAAAGAAAATAATAATAATAAAAAAACAATAAAGCAGGCAAAGTGAAAAAGTGTATATCCGACGCAGCGTTTAGGTTGAACTCCTCTCAGACGTTCTGCGTGTTCAGCGTGGACTCTCCCACTCACCCTTTCTCTCTCCCTCACCTGCAGACGCGCCGCATGTGTTGGCAGCCCCTATCTGCAGCACTGTGAGAGGGATTCACAAATGATATTGCAGTCCCTCTCTCTCTCCCTCTCTCTCTTTCTCTTTCCCCCTCTTCTGCCTCTCCCTCCTTACCTCTCTCTCTTTCTTTGCTGGCAACGCACGTAAACAGGGTCGAAGTTGGTCTTAAACGTCGGGGTCAGATTATGTTTGACCCAAAAAGAAAATGTGTATTAATTATATTCGGTTTTTCTCCCCCCCACACACACACACACACTGGAGATGTGCTTACTTCGTTTTCCATTGAGCGATATGACGCAACGTGACTTAAACGTAACATTTTTAATCACATTACACTAATAACGCACTTGTACATGATTGTTAATGTTCCATATAGAAAGCACTGCAAGGTGTAAAGACGACTTTTGCACATTCCAAAGATGTACATTAAAGAAATAAATAAAACAAAATTGGCAACAGCAAAGCCACTCTCCGCAGCAGCAGCAGCAGCAGGACAGACAGCGCTGCGCTTCCCCCGGTGGCTACTAGGAATATAAGCCCAGAAATGCGTGTGGTCGCCGGCGGCTGCGTGTCTCTTCCCCCTCATGCGTGATGCTCAGTCCACTCAGCAATCAGGAATCTGACACCGTGGCCGCACATCATATCCATTCATTTACATACAGTGGAAAATGACGTTAAAGTCTTTCTCCGTGTCTGCGGCGCAAACCCACTTTCCCTGCGATGCAGATACGCGTGTCCCTGTACAATTCGGGTTACAATTTTGCCCACCATACAAACTCCCCCCGCCCCCTCACAATCCCCCCCTCCTCCCCTTTTCTTTTAAGATAAAACTACTCGGGTGGAGTCATCACTTTTAACAGCAACCGTGCAGATTTTTCTGTGCAGCTGCAAGTGGAGCGATTGCGAAATAAATAAATAAAAACCGAGATGTCTCCGCGTCTTACTGTGCGTTGAGGACATCCTCAACTTTTCAATCGGGCAAAAACGGTGCTTCTCCTGTAAGAAGCGCCGTGCAAGTGCCGTGTGTTTGTGTGTGTGTGAAATTGCGCACAGAGCGAGCGTAATGAGTGAGTGAAGGGATGAGGAGTAGTAAGGTAGAGGAGAGGAGGAGGAAAGGGGAGAGAGAGCAGGGAGTCTGTCTCAGCAGCTGCACCTTTCAACTGACGGCAGAATTCCAACAGTGTCTTTATCCTTGCTGACGGGCGCCCTCTATTGACCAAATATAGATTAAAAAAAAAACAAGCACGGTGTTGGGAGTAGTCTGGGTGGAATCCATCTGCTTGCACTGGCTCAGACTTTCACCTGTGACCCGTTCTCAACGATGAAAATGTAATTTTTGTAAAACAAGAAAAACAACAACAAAAAGACATACATACGTGTACAAAAAGTTCAGTTTTGTCTTTGCCAGTTCTCAGAATGGTTTACGTGTGCCGGTGATGTATCTTTGGTGTCCCCGCGGGTTAGTTTTAAGTCAATGATTTGGTCAGCAGATCAACAGATATAAAAAGTTCTTTGGTAATCTGAAAAATGAAAGATGTAAGTATAGTCGCAGGGCAATCCCATAGAGGAAAGATGTGATGGTAGATTAGTGGGAGACTGCAGTATCTCAGCAGAATCAGTCAATTCAGCCAAGCTGCCGTCACTCACTAAAGACAGACATAACTCCATAAAGATTCACAAGCAAGAGCGAAAGCCTCGCGAAGGATGAATGCTGCGTTCGCCACTCATGTTCACGGACATCAGCCTTTTGGCGGTCATTGTCTGCAAAACGTTTCACAGAGAAAGATGCATTTATGGTCATTTTGATGAAGTGCATATGACCCTTGACGAGTAAGATTATCTACACGTTAAAAACATTCTGTTCTTTACAGTTTTGAAATTGAATTCTTTGAAATGACATGTCTGTTTCTGTGAGCTCAACTCAATTATTCAGCATAGCACGAGGACCTGAAAGGTTCAGTTGAAATTAACCGTGAGACTTAGAGATACTAAGTGTTTTGGTGACAAAAAAATAAATAAAATAAATAAAAAATGCAACCTTACCAAATTGCTACCCAGCTACTCTTGGAAATCTCATTTATGCAACCAGTGGAAGCCAAACTGCATCAAACAGCTACACACGAGAAATAATAACTGCGTACCCCGAGGCTGTTGGAATATGCTGAAACAAAGTGGAAATGAGCATGTAGGTAATTCTGAGGCAGCATTTACAGTCAGGACCATGAAGATCAAGGCTTGAAATCCTTGCTGAAAGTCATTATCGTAGTCGTGGGTAACTTGCTCTTGAGTGGGTGAGTGGTCGGAAATGATGGGAGGGAAAGCACTCGCTGCTGTTTTACACAGACCTCATCAATGACAATGAGGTGTTTTGAAACGTGAGGTCCAAAATAATTGTCAAAAAAAAAAACAGTCATACTCCTACGCCTTGTGGAGGTACACTGATTAAAATGAGTTATGATCAGAGTATACTTGTTCTATTTTATATTCTGTTTTGTTGTTTTTCTTTACTCCCTAAAACATGTTTTTTTTTTTTTTTTTTTTTGAATAAATGTCTAACATCTAATGCAAATCCCAGGTCATGGCTGACATCCAGTTTGACTCCAAGCTCATCTTAAAAGGTTTGCGTCTTTTTTTCTCTCTTTTTTTTTGTTTTTTTTTTTTTTGCTTATTTTGCTTGTTCCCCCTGTGGACAGTCTGGGAGCATTAATGAAATGTGGGAAGAGAAAATGAAAAACTGAGATGATTGCACGGTCTGCTGAATTAATGCTTTCCCATTTCATAAACACAACACAAGCAGGGGGATGTCTGCCTGTCCTTATTTACATTTTACACTGGTTAATGCTTATTGTACTGCTGTGACACTGCGCGCAATAGATTTGCAATTATGTCGGCTGTCAACATGAAATTACACCTTTGCTGTCCAGCGATGTGAGGACGGTTGGGATTCAAATGATTGGCTGCATTGCCGAACCACAAAAATAAAACAAAAAAAAAGCATACACCTTATTGTCATTACAAATTTAACCCGTTGATTTGACACAGTTTTGGAGCCATTTGAATGCAAAACCACGTTGCTTTGCTACTTGCATGCAGCAAATGTGTTCCTATGGTTTGTCTTTATGCGCAAATTTCAATTTGGAGCACCTTAAATTGAGCTGAAGAGTAGCTCATTCAAAGGCAAAATGCTACGCTAATTATCATCTGATGAGATGTTGAACCAGAGCGATCTTTGGACTGAGAAGCGGCCAAGTAAGACTTGCAACGTGTGACGACGAGCTGTGTTTATCTGTTGGAAAATCCCATCTTCCTGAAGTGACACGGTCCACATTTCAAGGGGTCAAATTGTGAAGGCGGATTTTATTTTATTTTATTTTTTTTTACGTTGTCGTTGGTAAATGCAGCATTTTTACAACAACTAAAGGCAGCAGTTACTTGATTGTGCTGTTAAACGGCGATATGTGCCTGGAAAATTCATAACGCCACCATGCTTTGGCCAACAGCTGTGTAGAGAGCCTAGTGATTAGATGTAACAAGATTTAAAGTGAGGAAAAAAAGAAAAAAGCTAAGCAGCTCATTAGATATGGGGTTAGGGCTAATTTTCGAAGAATTTACAGTTTATGGCATTTAATGAATTATCGAACAATGGACTCAGTGTCTGCAGATCCCAATTCTCAAACGATTAAACCAGGTAATGGGGACAAAAAAGAAATCCTGATGCACATATCACTGATATATTTTATTTATTTATTTTTTTTTAGTCTTCCATGAGAAACATATCAGTATTTCACTAAAAAAAAACACTAACAGCTGGTTTGTGTTATTCCTGTTTGAGTTTTTAAAAGTCGCTGTGCATTTTCCTGAGAGAAAAGTGCTTTGTATTCTTTAAACAGTTACCCTTGCTAAACAACTGTAAAAAAAAAGAAAAAAAAAGAAAAAGTAGATAAAAAGAAAGAATGTTAGCAGGAATGTGCATCTTGTTGGTTTGAAGCAGCTTTAGAAATGCAGATGGTCTTGCCTCTACTGTAGCCACTCTCTGACACTGTTTGATTGCTAGTTCTCTTTTGTGGCCTTCAAAAACGCTGAAATTGGACATTCAGCAGTGATGTACTCACCACAAGGTTAGCAATTTTATGGTAAAGCATTTCTCTCTGCTCACTGGAGAAATTTCAGATGGCACTAGTAAAACTGACAGTTCTATTACAGGTGCAGCTTTGAAATACCAAATGCTAGAGTATTTCTAAATTAGGCGGCCATTTTTTTTTTTTTTCTTTTAGGGGGAAAGAGAGGTGGAGAAGGGCGAGCTTTAGTTTCACAAAAGCTGATATTTCCAAAATGGATCGGTTAACCTTATGCTAATCTCACTGAATTTGTATCACGAGAAAATAGTTTTTATATATTTTTAGTCTTTTCTGTGAGCCTGTGAAATTTGGTGTTTTAAAAAGTTTTTTTTTTTTTTTGGGGAAACTGAAGAACATTTTCTCTTTTATTGCAATACAGTTTTTGACAGTGTGTTCAGTTGCTTGATGGGTTTTCAGTATTTCGTCCTTGTATCCGAGAACTTATTCAGTTGACGCAACTTGCGACACATTTGAAAATGAAAAAATAAAAAAGATAAAAAAAACACCTCACTGGTTATAGATACGAACTCCCGCACCTTGGCATTCAGACTCTTCCGACAAACATTTGTAAGATAAAGGGTCACTCAGGAGCTAATTGATGCCACTGTGATTGGTTCCCAATGCTCTCGTAAGGGGAGTTGTGAAATTTCAGCACTGCTAAATATTCCACAATTAACTCCTGGTGGGTTTTATATGATCGGGAATGATAAGTATAGCTTGGTGTGGTGTACAGCTGCCGCCACTAGACATTTGAGTTCTCTAAGGTGATGAATCTTGCCTCTTTGTTTTGAACCTAGTGGAGGATATAAGTCAGGGTGTTTTCCAGTTATCAAAAAAAAGCAGCATTTGTCTGTCTACATTACAGCCGGTGTACAATTTAGGCCAGTTTCATGCTCCTCACTGTGGAACAGTTTGGAGATGTAACCTTCAGTTCCAAAATGAATGCACGCTGGAG